GATTTTGCGCTTGATCGTTTGTGTAGCTCATGACGCAACAGTGTATGAGTCGTTTTCGTAAGCTTATATTATTGGTGTTTATGGTTAAGACTGCATTACGAATCGATTATTGCATAACTGATCGTTGAAACGTGGCATTTTTAAGTATAAACTGACATGCCTGGAGAAAACTAAGTCATGTAGGAATAAATAGCAACTTCCGAATTTTCGTTGACAATTGCTGAACGATAGCTTGAGAATGAAACGGGTGGGGACAGGGAAATGGTGCTAGCGAGTAGGACAGGGGACACCGCGTTGAATAGCTGTTTCAACATTACCGGTTGCGTGGCTTCCAAGATCCATAGTTTTCCAAAGAACCTGGTGACGGCAAGTGCAAGTGTTTGATCATTTGCACCATGGATAGTAGCGGTGAAGTTATTTACAACAAAGTTGTCATCTACCACAGAGGTCAGATGTTGTCTCGCTTGATAGGCGAAAAGTGGAAGCAATATTTAAAACATTCAATTCCATGAGATATTGTTGTCTGAGAACGTAACTCATTCATCCGAAAAGCAGGTTCAAATTACTTTCTAGCAGTTTCAGAGAATTTGAAACCTGCGATCTGTCTACTGTTATTTTAGATTGACTGGTGGTGAACATCTGAGAGATCAACAGATCAATAGATGTGGATAATTTCTTCGATGATTTTGTTTGAATTAAATTATCTTTACCTTTCCACGATGTATAATACAGGTGAGAAATAAGTAGGATCTGTAAACGCTACTTGTGCAATAATAACAACGGACTTCAGTGTGACTGCCTGCTATCGACAGGTAGTCGGTTGAAAGATACGGTTATTCCAATGTCGGGCTATCATTTATGCCACGCGCGTTGTACAGTACTTCCCAGCATTGCACAACACCGTTTGTCTGCTTTTCATTTGCTACACCTCGTAAACAAGGAAAAATATAAACAGCTGGGTTCATTGTAAATCCAGAGCTATTTCTTCAGTCAAGTGTCGCAACATAGAGCTCACTCCTCGTAGTTGCTTTACAAAAGTATATTACGCTAGATCTGACCAGACTTGCATATTAGCATCAGCACCTGAGTGCTCCCAGAGCAATCGATGGAAGTGTAGACCCATTGTATCACTGATTATATGTATACACGATAAACATAACGGGTTAAAAATGAACGGTCTGAGAGGCTAGTTAAGTTAACGTTTGTGAGTGTGTGTTTATCGCATGCCAATCTGATTTTTTTCTTTCCGTGTATCTCTTAAATGCAACGAAATTATCAATTACACTATAAACACAGTCTTGCACCAACCAGCATCTGTCTGATCGATCGTATCGCTTGAGTTAAAACGCCAATAGCTTCCGATCCGGATTATTCGTCTTCGTCATCTTCTTCACAAACTGTGTTCGTGACGTCATTTCAAAACAGAGTGATAATCCGATGAGAATAACGATACCACATCGTCAATGATGTCCCATGTGAACAGATGTGGGTGTACATGCATAGGTATTCCATACAACATCAGTCATTGTCAAATTTGTGAAGTACATTGACAACAACTGATGAAAGTGGTCCAGAGAACAGGATTTTGTGTGTGTTTGAATATCGCCGAAACTATCGATGAGATTAGTAAAACATTCACCTCTTTGATTCTCATATCAGTGTATTACTTTCCGTCTGACAACTACTACAAGTAAAATCAATCGTGTAGTTAAAATAAACCGCTGTGTAGTCAAGACTCCAATACAACACATCTGAAGAAAACTCTTGAAAACATAACAGCCCAACCCCGGATCGGCTTACCGGACTTCGAGAACATGCAGTCTCTCCATCTAGCATACCACAGCCAGTCTGTTCAGTCCACATTCCCTCATCCATAGCACCCACGGTGGTTTGCGCGATCGCACGTCCGTATGTGCACACAGGACATGTATGGCAATGAAAACGACTCAATCCCGGATCCGATTCTCGTTTAATCGTTCCCTCATCCGGATCGGGATCCGTTTCAAATCGCGATCCGGACCCGAAAATGAACACATCTCCGGCCGTGGATCCACCACCCCCGTCCGATGAACATGGCACACGAAACGGACTGATCCCGGGGACCGAACTGCTCCATGATCCAAACGGAGAGAACACCGAACCCGTTTCCGGATGGACGGATGAGGTACGCCCGTTCCGGACTAAGGTAGCATCATTGGGATGTGGTGAAGGATTTGAAGCGTGTTTCTGATTGCTGTTCTCTACTGGGGACAAACACCACAGCGTGTGATTTGATGTGAGTGCATCCGATCCGGTCACATTCAATGAATCAAACGTGTCCAAACTCGGTCCGCGACGTCGTTTCAAACCGACCGTAGTGACTGGCATTGCCACTGCTGTGGGCATATGCGTACTCCCACTATCGATTGTCCCACTCATGACCACAGTTGGTGGTGTGGTCTTCGGGATGAGCATATTGTCACGCTCGTCCGGTGGTACGGTGGTACGAATCGGACTAGTCGAACCGAGCGGTGGTTCGGACGGTTGTGATCGGCAACGTAGAGCCGCCTCAGGCAGCTGAGCCCGCTCCACTGTCTCCGTACAGGAACTGCTTGCTCCACACGGATTCCGTCGGGTCACAGTTGGGGTATCGATTGCTTTCGAATGAGATGTATTTACAGGGAGAGGTGGAAGCTCCTGCCGAGATCCCATCATCTGAAAACAAGATTGAAATAACCAACAGTCATGTTACAATGAATGATAACCAGATTGCCGATGATGCGCTCGGACCACGTGCTTGTACCAACCCGTTGCATATAAGATTGGAATTTCAAAACCCCTCCACTAGAATCGGGTGGACGATTCGTGCGTGTTGTCGAATCACGCAATTGTCGAGTCCGCAAACCATGATCAGTGAGTGCCTGATATGTATCGATCGGTTTATTCGGCGTGAATCATCTGATCAACACGTATGCACACAACCAATTCAATGTTTCACACATCCGCACAGCTGCACACACACACACACACACGCACGTGTCTGTGCCTAACTAAAGGGATCGAATCAAAGAAAATGGATGCATGCATCTGATGGGAGTGTCGGCACCGAGCGTAAATGCGTGCTCGGTGTACGCGCACACAGTGATGCATCAATTCCAAGCTCGAAAGCGAAAATAGAGGGAATGGTCTTTACCACGTGGTTGGGAGTGGTGAATAGGTAGGTTCGAGCAAAGCACAACACATGACTCAGATAAAGATGGGAACGATACAGTGAAGGCAAACCTGCCGTTCACCTAGTGCGCGCGAGCGTGTGTGTATACAATGGTAATCGGAGCATTTCGACTCGCAACAGGGCACATATATTCTCCCGAGCCAAAACGCGCAACAACGTCATGAAGACGAAGCCAACAACAAAAGCAACAAATCAAAACCGCCACAATTCCGGTGACATTCCAACAAACCGCCGCCACAGGATCCATCAGTCGATGACGAAACGAGAATTGTTGGGAATGGCTAGGATGCAGTCAAATTTTTATTCACATAAAAATCAAACCACAGTAATTATAAATGTCAACGTCCTAATTATGGCTGCGAAATGGTTTCTCTGTTTCGGGGAAACAGAAACAGTGGGAGAAGTAAAAACGATCGGAATGAAAGGAAGTCATTAGCAAGGAGATTACTAGTTTCACGAGACTTCAGATTTGCCGAGCACAATTTTGTCAGATCCACTGATTCCCTTAAACGGTCAAACACAACCTGTACACAACAATTCGACTGGCTATTGAATTGGCACCCCCTGTGCTGCCCTTTTCCGAAGTATTAGTAGGTACAAAACCAAAAGCCATACTGCTCTTGATTATTTTTATATCTAGTTGATATATGGTTCTAAAAAAGAAATAGTATTTATTTTCCGTTCTAGAGGAATCTTTTATCAATGAACAATCTTACTGTGAAACGGGCAAGTCGATGCAAATAACTCGAATCGAAAGTAAGGCATCATTGAACGATCCAGGAACTTTGCCTTTCCCTTAACTACAGAAAATGATCAATGAATACTTTTTGGTGCAATATGTATGAAGACAATACGCTAACCTGTATGTCCTGCTGGGAAAAAGGCACACACTCGCACATTTGTTGAGAAACAGAGATGACTGACTGAACCGACTGGGAGACAGTGATGTTCAAGTAACCGAAAATATCGTTTCTTTTAATAGGGAACAAGACAATTCGAAAACAAATGTGTGTGTGATTCCATATTCCGGTGGAAAAAACAATGTGGCAGATATGAGACAAATAGGCCTAACGAGTTCCACTGGTTTTCAAATAGCATATAAGTGGAAATGAAAATCTGGAACGACCTTGTGATCTATGTGGGTCTATCAATCGTGTATAGACCGAGAAAAGAGGTCAGTTAATTCTCATCTTAATCAAACCATGTGAAGTGCACGGGAAAAATAACTTAGTCTTCACTCTCGAAATTATTTTCACAACCTTTTACTGTTTCCTTGTTCCTTTAAGGGATTATTATTATACTTCACAGTTTTCTGAAGACAGACTGTGCCTAGCAATAATCTTTTTGAAAAATGATAAACGCTCCTTTGAGGGGAACGATTGCGAAACAAATGTGAATGGAAAGTCATGTGACTTTCATTAATTCTCTTTGTCACGGTAATGTATTATGCACAAAGAACTAAATCACCGTCAGATGTCTATCCGTCCGAGATCGAACTGCTCTTCCGTCATCATCACTACCACCAACAATAATCGTAACTTCAAAGCCACCCCGGAGGCAGAAACAATTTCGCTGTGAGCGGGGTAATAACATAGCTACCATAAAATTTATTCCATGTCTTTTGTCACTCCGATACCATCAGTTATCTTGGTGGATTTTTTGTTGTAGTGTTGGCATATATATATATATATATATATATATATATATATATATACCTTTGACATTCTATTGAAAAGAATCAACAGTCGCAAAGCTAGCTTTACGAAGAAGGCAACAGCCAATCAAAAGGCGT